GAAATGGCGTTGGCCGACATCTTTGAGTGGGGCAGGTGCGGGCCGCTTTGCTTGGGGTCGGTCTATTCTATGTTGGATTAGTACCCAACCAGAGTGAGCCAGACAAGGTCCTTAACCCTGTAGGGAGACCACCTTAGGCCAGAACCTGGGTGAGGCCAGCGGCGTTGCCCAGCGGATTCAAGGCGGAGCACCGTCAGTGTCTCCCAGTTCATGGAGATTCTGATCTTTTTTCTTTTTTTGAGACAGAGTCTCACTCTGTCACCCTGGGTTGAGCTCACTACAACCTCAAACTCTTAGGCTCAAACAATCCTTCTGCTTCAGGCTTCTGAGTAGTTGGGATTACTTGTGCTCACCACAACACCCAGCTAATTTTTTCAAGTTTTAGTAGAGACGTGAGTCTTGCTGTTGCTCAGTCTGGAAAGATTATCTTTTTTTTTTTTTTTCAGACGGGGTCTCTCGCCTTTGCTCAGGCTGGTCTGGAACTCCTGAGCTCAAGCAGTCCTTCTGTCTCGGCCTCTCAGAGTGCTAGTGTTACAGGCTTGAGTCACAGCGTCTGGCTTTTTTTCTTTAAGGCAATGCCTTCAGCCTAGCTCACAGTAACCTCACACTCCTGGGTTCAAGCGGTCCTTCTGCCTCAGCCTCGCGAGTAGCTAGGACTACCGCCCCAACTCCTGGCTAATTTTTTCTGGTTTTAGCAACTATGAGGCCTCCCTCTTGTTCAAGCTGATCTCCAACTCCTGAATTCAAGCAGTCTTACTAGAGTGTTGGGATTAAAGGCGTGAGCCACCGCTCCTCAGCTTGGAGACTTTGACTGAAGTAACCAAAATGCATATTGTGCCAGTGTGATAAGCACTGTGGTTTACAGGGGTGTAGGGGAAAACCTGTCGGAGGTGGACACTTGGGGAAAAGGAGGAAGAGGTCTAGCGGGCCGGCTCTTGGTGCTGGCAGGGTTCCCCTGGAGACGCACTGCAGCTCTGCGTTTCCGCGCCTGTCAGAATCTGAGGATGTTGGCGGGGTCAGCCTTTCATCCAATCATAGCTCAGCGTGTCTCCAAGGGCGGGAGGAAGCGACGCCAGGCGGTCAGAGTCGTCCACCCGTCACCAGGGTAACCATCAGGCTGGTGAGAGTCGGGTAGCAGATACGGAACTCAAGCCCTTAAGCTTCCCAATGCGTCTCCGCGGGCATGTCTTCCCTTCCTTGTGGCAGCGCGTCGTCACGGCTTGGAGCATTGTGGGAGACATGGTCTTGATGGTCCAGTAGGTGCCATGGTGGGTCAGGCGGGTGTTTTCTTGGGCTCTTCGCCGCCACCTGACCCCATTTGGTCACCTCTGCTAAGTCGTTCTGAAGCTCTCTCATCTCCAGCGCCTACTCAAGATCCACTTCTCGCCTGGGCTGAGTCGGCTCCATCCCCTCACCTCCCGCACCTCCTAGGACAGGACCGCCCCCATTTTCACTCTAGCGGAGGAGTCGCCTCTACCTGTTCAGACATTGGTCTGGCGTCCATCCCCTCCCCAGCCTCAGATCGGAGGTTCTGCTCTGTGTGTGCCCGGCTACCTTGCTTTGTCTCTGTTGCTCCTTTCTGCCCTTTTGTGTTCAGTATTCCATCCCAGAGCTGCCCCAAGCTTCCTCTCCTGTTCTTCATAGAGCCTCCTCCTGCTTCAACCCTCTGGCTGTCCCAGCTTCACAGAATCTTCTCTTGCCTTTATCTCTGAGAGAGCTGAGTACCAGGGAAGTCTGGGGTGAGGAAGGGGAGTCAGAAGCCTCAAACAGCTTGGATTTGGGGCCAACCTGATTTCAGTGGTCCCACCTTCCTCAGGCTTCATACATGGCTGGTTCTGGGGCTCAGAGGGCCCCTCCACACTGAGTCTCCCTCTTTCTCTGTTCTTTCTTTTCAGCCACCATGCTCTGTGCTGATTTATTTTCGTACACGTCACCTATGTGGCAGTTGATGATCCTCCTGCTCTTTCCATGTAGTCTCAGAGTGGTTCCTTTTGGCCAGCCTGGTCCATATATCTATCCTCAGGTCAATTGCTGAGGGCCCATCTAGGAATGGGGTATTGGTCTCCCAGAAATGTGATCCTGGACTAGTCAAAGTTGGACTTGTGCGTTTTCTGTCCTCATGGATTATCGTCCACTGGGGAAGACCATCAGCCATGCAACAACATAGGAGAGGGAACTGACGGGGTCCAGATAAGGAATGAAGGATGGGCAAATTGAAGCTGGGTGGTGTGCTGGATTTTCTTGGGCCCTTATACTATATATACAGGTATATATAGCTGTATCTTCCTTGTCCCCACCACAGCTGCCCAAGTGGCAGGAAAGCATAGGAATTGGGTGGCTTGGGAGGTGAGAGGGCCTGCTGCCTCTGGGAAGGCAACAAAAGACTTGCCATGTGCAAAGACTCTGAGGGAAGCCAATGGCAGTGCCTCAGAGGGACTGGGCAGAGGGCTGTGAGTGTTAGTGTAGCTTCTGGGAGCTGGGAAGACAGGCTCTATATTAGGTGTTAGGAGGGGCTGGAGGCTATGGGGAGGTGCCATGATCCAATAAGCCAGAGACTGGAGGCTGGGATTAGAGCAGTGTGGAAGGAAGTAGTCAGAATCAAGGAGGCTGGGGTTGGGGTGAGAGTAATTGGATGGATGTGGCATTGTGGGTTGGGATATTTAGCTTGAGAGTGAACAATATGGCTTCAGAGACAGGCTGTCTGGGCATATTGTTATACCTGTTCCAGCTGACCAGGGCTTTGTGGGTTCCTTTCCTAGATGATTCTTATGGCTGTGGCTATGTGAAGCCAAGGGATCATTATGTCCAAGCCCTCAACCCTGCTGGGTATGATAGCACTCATACTGAGGGGCCCAGTTACCACTCCTCTGATTCTCTAGACCTAGAAGTAGCCTCTAGCCCAAGCTGGTTTGTTTTTCCTGAGGCTCCAGTCATGGTGGTCAGGGTGATTTGACGTAGCAGGGGAAAGTCCAGTTATAGCCCTGGAATGAGCTTGGATACACAGACCTCAAGTTCCTGTTTCTGGAAATGCCCAGGCCAAGGCTAACCTTGGCTGAGTCCAAGTCCAGCTGGACTCACAGCCCTTGACTGTGTCAAGAGGTTGATCAATGGGGATGGAAGCAGAAGATGGCTAGGGCAGAAAAAGCAATGGCATAGGGTCCTGGAGATGCTGCCTTGAAGTCTGCAAGATAGTGAACCTGTGCTGACAGAATCTGTCTGCTTTTACATAAGCTACTGTCAGGTGTGCTTCCCAGGACTGGCTGCTAGATGCATTTCTTATGGAGACCACACAGTGTAGGGGGGCCTCTATGGCACTGTGCACAGGACCATCCCAGATCGACTAGGGTCCCATTTTCAGGGTTCTACACCCTCAGCACCTGTTGGTTGTGAATAGATAGTAACAGGAAAAGTCCTAGAAAATCTGATTTTCTGGGTAAAACTTTCCAGTTTTTGAACCTAGGAAATGGTTTCCTAAGTGTAAAGGAACTTTGCAAAGATACCTGCAAGTGAGAACTGCTAATTTGTTAACTTCTGCTGTATCTGATGATCTTGGGTTAGCTGGGAAGAATCAGGCCATTCCAGGTCCTCTCCTGGGAGTTGAGTTGGCCCATGGCCCTGGGAACAGACATGACAGGAGAGGGTGCTGAGATCACAGGCATCACAGGCCCAGCACAGTGCCACTCACAAACCTGGGAGCTGGATGATCCAGGTGAGATCCTGGGCTCCCAGCTGTCAAAAGTGCTGAGTGCCTCAAGAACCAACTCCCCAACAGTTGTTAATAGAATTAAATCCTTGACCACATATATGATGACTACTGCAGGGAGGGGAAGGGTGCTGGCAGGGTAATTGGACAGCTGAGCTGGGGGTGGAAATGTCAGTGCTGGCTTGGAGCAAGGTCGATGACTTGGTGACTTGACAAGCTGGTAATCCCCCTGGGGACTGAGTGTTTTCTCAACCCCTCAGAGGCCCTGGGTAGTGGCCTCAGTGTCAAGGGAGGATCTCATGGAATGTCACCTGACAAGGGCTGGGCTCCAGACTTGTCCACTTAAGCATCAATGTGTAGGGCAGAGACTTTACAAATATACTATTCTTTACCTCCAGCTCTGTTAGTGACAGTGGAAGTGGGGTGGGGTAGGGGGAAAGACTAAGGCAGCAGTAGTCTTCACCTGGTAGCAGCAGGCCCTTCCAGGAGTAGCATAACCTCCCAGAACCAGGCTCATTGAGCCCCTCAGAGACATGTACACCAGTGCACCCTCCTCAGAAATCTTGATTCTAGGCCCATGAGGTACTCTCCTTTGAGCCCAACAACCCCACAATTGCTACACAGTATCCCCTCTTCAGAGTTCTGGCTCCCAAGCCCCCAGTGATTCACTACTGGGTAAGGACCCCAGTAACAGCCTGGCAGTGCTCTCATCGAGGGCCTGAGTTTCAGCTCCACGGGAAACTCATTGGAGTCTAAATTGCTATGCTTTCCTTTGTTCCTTTAGTGCAGGGGATCTAGCTGCTCTTTGCAGTTCCCCTTTTCCACCTCCCATGACAGCTTGACTTACCCATCAAGTACCTAATACCCTAGTTACCAGTTCTGTTAAAACACCTGCTATGGCTCTGTCTCTTGACTGGATCCTGATTATATGGCACCATGCAATATATATGTAGTCTGCTGGCAGATGTCCACAGAGAACATTTCTTTTCTCTGGGTTTGAAAAGAGGTATATTGCTTAGGGAGAGCTGAGGCTAGGCTGCTCAGGGCTACTCTACCCACCTGCTGCTGGGCGATTCATTACTTCAGTGTAAGTCAGAGATATGGTATAAAGGCCACCCTCACATAGGAGCAGGTGCTGCTAAGAAGCCACCTCTGTGGGGGTGCAGGGGTGTTGTGGGGGAGGGATATAGTCCTCACAGGAAGCAAGTTGGTGCATAGGGAACACCCCAGGACAGCACAGTGGGCGGACAGGGACTGTGAAGATGGGGAGGTATCAATCAAGAGGGTGGAGACTCAGTTTTCCATCTACTGTTTATTGAGCATCTACTGAGGGCCAAGCCCCAGGTGAGCCTGTTGCACCTTTGCAGTCACTGGCCTCCCAACAAACCTGCCAAGTGTTCTGACCAAGGTGGACACAGTGTGTCCAGACTGGAGCTACTCAGCACTGTGCACGTGCTGGTGCTGGATGAGCTTGGTGCTCTGGTGGAAGCAGCGGCCACAATCTTGGCAGGCAAAGGGCTTCTCTCTCTGGTGTGTGCGCAGGTGCTGCGTGAGTGTGGGCCGCTGCCGGAAGGCCTTGCCACACTCGGGGCATGTATAGGGACGCTCCCCCGTGTGTATGCGTCGGTGCTGCGTGAGGTTGGCATGCTGCCGGAATCTCTGGCCGCACTCAGGGCAGGTGAAGGGCCGCTCGCCAGTGTGGATGCGCTGGTGCTCCGTGAGCCGCGAAACTTGTGTGAAGCCCAGGCCACACTCGCTGCAACGGTAGGGCTTCTCGCCAGTGTGTGTCCTTTGATGGCGTGTGAGCTTGAGGCGCTGGCTGAAGCGCTGGCCGCATTCGGGGCACGCAAAGGGCTTCTCACCCGTGTGCACGCGCAGGTGCTGTGTGAGTGTGGGCCGCTGGCGGAAGGCCTTGCCGCACTCTGCACAAGTGAATGGCCGCTCGCCGGTGTGGATGCGCCGGTGCTGCGTGAGGTTTGAGCGCTGCCGAAAGCTCTGGCCGCACTCGGCACAGGCGAAGGGCCGCTCGCCGCTGTGCACTCTCCGGTGCTGCAGCAGCACGGAGCGGCGGCCAAAGCGCTCTCCGCACTCCATACAGCTGAAGGACCTGATACCTGTGTGCACCGCCTGGTGCTCTAGCAGCACAGAGCGCTGTGGGAAGCTTTCGCAGCATTCACTGCACGGAAAGGGGCCTGGAGGCTCAGGCGTAACAGGAAGGGTGGGAGGCACAGAGCCGGGGCCTGGGGGGTCGCCATGGATGCGCTGGTGCTGCAGCAGGTTGGAGCGCTGCCGGAAGCTCTGGCCGCACTCAGAGCAACTAAAGGGCTGTTCACCAGTATGCACGCGCCTGTGCTCCTCCAGGCGCGCGCTGCGCACGAAGCTCTGGCCACAGTCGCTACACACAAAAGGCCGCTCTTCGGTGTGCGTGAGCTGGTGGCGGAGCAGGTGTGAACTGCGGCTGAAGCTGCGGCCGCAATCGCTGCACATGAATGGTCGCTCACCCCTGTGGATCTTCTGGTGCCGCAGCAGATTGCTGCGTTGGCTGAACACCTTGCCACACATGTCACAGTGGCCGCCCTTAACTGTCCGTGTCCCGGTTCTGGGGTGGCCCCGACCCCGGCCCCTGGGGGTGTGCCAGCGGGCAGTAACTAGTGTAGGCCCCACACTTCGTGGGGAACCCTTATCCATGGGGTTCTGCTCAGGGCTCAGATCGCTGGGGAGCAGGAGCGCATGCGCGAAGCCACCTTCCTGAGAGGGTGACCGTATCCAACCTGAGAGACCAGCCATGCCAAAGTCCCGGGAGACGTGCAGTGGGGGGCTTACAGTACCTGGGGCTGTGGAGATGCTGTTCATCTGGAGTGCAAACCCTGCATGCACAAGGGGACACACTCATTCATGTCAGAATACCTACTGTGCCTGGGTCCACTTCAGCCCTGGGGACAGTGAAACTGACCAATGGAAGCAGAGGTGATAAGGGCAAGGGCAGGAATTCTATCTGTGCAGCCTTCTCTGAGGAGTTAACAATGAGACTGTGCCTTGCATAAGGAGGAAGACTGGGCAGTGTGAGAAAAAGCTTTTCTGCAACATGCGAATCTTAGGGGACATTAAAAAAAACCCCAAAACCCCCCAGCACTCTGGATCGTACATAAGTGAGAAAAAATTGCCCCTTTCTGGAAGAGCTGTAGGGCAATAGTGGTGGCAGATAGCCCTTGCACTGTCTAGGTAGGCAAAGATGGTCTCTGCAAAAGCAGAGAAGTGGGTGGGGCTTAAGGGAGGCTGGAGGTGGAGCCAACAGAAAGGAACGGGGAGGGTGAGGGAATGCAAGCTTCTAACTTTGGTCTGGATTTGAGATGTATCTTGGATGAGACTCTGTAGGACATTTGAGGAAAAAATACTTCATTGCGGCTGCTGGGAAGTGTAAGCAAGGGCTTGAGGGCATATAACATGGCAAAAGGAGCCATGAGCCTGCATATTATCAACAAGGGTGAGTATCTACAGAGAGAAATAGGTGTTAGCCACACCATGAGCACTACAGCATTACCGTGTTTCCCCAAAAATAAGACACTATCTTATATTTATTTTTTCTCAAGAAGACACACTAGGGCTTATTTTCAGGGGATGTTTTATTTTTATTAAGTATAATACAACAATCTACATTTATTCAAATACAGTTAAGTCATCTTCTTCTGGAACATCGTCATAACTCTTCAGACCCAGAATTCCATCCTGAATTTCTTGAGACTCCATTTCCTTTAGAACCATTGGCCCCAATCTTTCATGTAGAGCAATAGAGCTCTCATTAAATGTGCAGCTCTTATCCATGTAACCTGCTCGGAGTGCATTGGCAACAACACTGTCAGTAATTTTATTCCATGAATTCTTCACCCACGTCACAACCTCTTGCAGGCTAGGCTTCATAAAGTTTCCTCGCTGATTTCTGGTCATTCTATTTTCAATGTAGTTGTTAATTTCCATACGCAAATAGTCTTTGAATGGCTTGTTTATTGCAATATCAAGAGTGTGGAGATAGGCCGTCATTCCTGCAGGAATCATTATTTGATCTATTTTTCTCTCTGCTAGGAAGTTCTTCATGTCTTTAGCACAGTGAGTGCTGGCTGAATCCCAGACTAACAGACCTCTTTGGCCACCTTGCAAAACAAGTGGCAGCATTAAATCAAGCCACTTCCTTATGACTGCTTGTGTGCACCAGGCTTTTTCTGTTTCAAGAACATAAATGCCAGAAACACATTCAATCTTTTCTTTCTTGCCCTTAGTGATGATAAGAGGTGTAGCTTTCTTTCCATCCAGATGAATGGCCAAAATACAGGTAACACGTGAACTTTCGTGATCAGTGGAGGGAATGTAGATTGAGGAGGCACCCCTCTGTTCAATTGTTGTTTGGGCTCCTTGACCCATAAACACTGCAGTTTCATCCATAGCAATCATGTTGCAAGGTTGGTATTTAGAAAAGTCAATGCCATCAACAAAGGACTTGAATGCAAGTGCTCGCTTAATAACTTCTGCATCTTCCAACTTAGACAGTGTTGTTGATTTTCTTAGAGACAGTTCATGTCGCTGAAGGAAGCCATCCAGCCAGTGTTGTGATGCTTTGAATTCTGGGGATATTTCAAACTGTGGTGCCATTGCAAGGGCAAATGCTTGAATGTCAGCCCTGCGCACAACCAAAGCCTTTGCTCTCCTGTCAGCAATCCATTCACAGATTATGTTTTCCAGCTCAGGAAATAAAGGTTGCCGAACTGAACCACACTTGCGTTTCTTAGCATTTCCTCTGTCCACATGTAGACTGAGGTTATCATATTCTGCCCGCCATTTTCGGACCATTCGGATATCCAACTTCTTCTCTTTACAGAAAGCTGTAAGATTCTTGCCCTGGGAGTCCTCGACAATTCCTTTCTTGTACTCGACAGAATAGCTCTTTCTTTTTGCACTCATCTTGTCTGGGGGTATGACTAGGAGAAAAGAGTGATGCAGTTGCTGTCCCCGCACCCACGCAAGTACAAACAGCTTGGAGAAAGGAGCTGTGGCAGATAAAAGGTATTCCAGTCTTCCTTACTGCTCCACGCCGAAATGCATGGCGTGGCTACACAGCATATCTGCATAGCCATGCCCATCACTAGGTATTATTATGGGGTAGGGCTTAAATTTAACAAATGCATAGAAATCCTGCTAGGGCTTATTTTGGGGGTAGGTCTTATTTTTGGGGAAACACGGTAGAGGCTAGGTGATAGAGGAGTCAGGAACTGCAATTGAGAAGCAGGGCCTGGTGAAAGAGGAAACTTGTAGGAGGTTAAATCAAGAAGACTGAGAATAGTGAAGGGTTTAATGGGTGACAGAAAATCTATAAACTGCCAAAGAAAAGTCAAACATATTATAATGAATTAACAGGAATCAATAAAAACCACCTCAGAGTCAAAAGACAAATGACAGGGGGTGGTGCCTGTGGCTCAGTGAGTAGGGTGCTGGCGCCATATACCGAGGGTGGCGGGTTCAAATCTGGCTCCAGCCTTGGCCAAACTGCAACAAAAAATATAGCCGGGCACCTGTAGTCTCAGCTACCCAGGAGGGTGAGGCAAGAGAATCGCCTAAGCCCAAGAGCTGGAGGTTGCTGTAAGCTATGATACCACAGCATGCTACTGAGGGCAACAAAGTGAAACTCTATTTCTAAAAAAAAAAAAAAAAGAAAGAAAAAGACATGACAAACTAAAAGATTCTCTTTAGAGGCAAAGGGTTAATTAACTTTCTAAGTAAAAAAGCTTCAATAAATTAAAAAGAAGCTCAGCGCCTGTAGCTCAAACAGCTAGGGTGCCAGCCACATACACCGGAGGTGGTGGGTTTGAGTCCAACCCGAGCCCAGCCCAGGCCAGCAATTACCACTACAGCCCCCCTCCCCCCAAAAAAGGCCACGCACTGTGGCAGGTGCCTGTAGTCCCAGCTAAACTTGGAAGGCTGAGGCAGGAGCTTAAGCCCAAAAGAGTTTGAGGTTACTGTGAGCTGTGATGTCACAGCACTCTTATGGAGGGCGACATAATGAGACTCTGTCTCAAAAACAAACAATAAAAATAATAATAAAATAAAAATAAATAAATTAATAAGAAAGACCAACCTGATAGACACATGGGGAAAGGATATGAACAGTAAAGGAAATGTTAAGTAATGCTTAAATCCCATAAAAATATGCTGTCTCACCAGGCACAGTGTTTCGTGCCTGTAATGCCAGCACTTGAGAGGCTGAGGAGGGTAGACTGTCTGAGCTCATGAGCTCGAGATCAACCTGAGCAAGAGCAAGACCCTGTCTCTAAAAAACAGCTGGGTGCTGTGGCATGCACCTGTAGTCCCAGCTACTTGGAAGGAACTTGAACCCAAGAGTTTGAGGTTGGTGTGAGCTAGGATGCCACAGCACTCTACCAAGGGTGACCAAATGAGACTATGTCTCAAAAAAAAAAAGAAAAAAAGAATATGCTGTCTCCTAGTAAGAAAAATGCATGCGCATTATAGTGGAATTCATCTCTATTTTCCACACCCTCACTGCAAGGACCCATGCAAAATCCAACAAAACAGCGAGTATCCTGCACTTTGACTTAGTAATCCCACTTTTTGGGGAACAGGGAAGAACAAAAGATGAGGTATGGTGGGGAGCTTGGATGACGGCAGACCAGCACAGTGGCTGAGAGGTGGATGTCAAGGGGCCTTTGCCTGTGATGTCTGGGTGATTGGGCAGGATCCTGGTCTGTCCTTACCTGATACCTATCTTATATATCCTATCTTGTCCTTACTTGGTCTTGAGCCTTCCTGCACCAATGTCTGGATAACAGAATACAAGCTCAGTCTGGGGACTAACGAAAATGCCAAGACTGGTAGAGAATATGAGTGTGGGGAACACAGGCCCCATTCTTAGGAGGTTCTACTTTGGTGGGGAGAAAAAGCTAGAGGAGATTTGGGGTAAGTAATGGGCTTGGCTTTGGAGAGAAGATGATGCTAAAGCAGGCTGAACAATGTAGGGGTTTGTCTAGGGAACAGGAAAGCTTGAAGATGCTGGAGGAAGAGGGCTGCCTGGGTAGGGCCAGGACTGGGCTTAGCAAAGGTGGTGCTGCCCATGCAGAGGGCCCGGCCCCACAATGCTTCATCTCACTTACCTGGGGAGAAGATGCTCCCAGTTTCCTCATGCCACAGGGTCCCAGGGTGCTGCCTCCATGAGGGCCATTCAGGCTCAGTCTTGCTGTGGGCAAAGGCCTGGTCCAGTGTTGTCCCACAGCCCTGAAACCACAGTGGTCACTGCTCATCTGTGTTTGGCTAGGCTTAAGAGGAGTCCTACCCGACCCTTACCCATTGAAGCACCTGGGGCAGGGAGGCAGGCACAGCCTGTGCAGGGCTCACCTGGGCGTCCTCAGGCAGTAGGATGGGTGCAGCCTCCTGGCTGGCAGCTAGAGGCCCAAACTCCAGAAACTCTAGAGAAGAAAGGTTGGGTCAGGTAGCCTGAGGGACTTTCTACCCTGCTGCTCTTCTCAGTTGTGTGCCAGATGCTAGTGTCCAAGTAAGAGGGAGTCCTGGGTATGGGCTGAGGGCTTGGGAGGGCAGCATAGGGCAGCTGAGGGACCAGCTTGGGAACTGGTGAAGCAGAGAACCCTGGAAGGCCAGGGGCTGAGCTGTAGTGGTATGAGGTGGGCTCAGGTCTCTGCCTATGGTCCTCGATGAATCCTGGGACAGGATGGCCAGTAGAGGTCATGGAGGACTGTTTAAGGGCCCACACACAGGAATGCCAGAGTGTAAGCAGTGGATTTAGGTACTGTGCCTGACAAGTGAATGGGTGGGCATACCCCAATACTGTCAGGTCCTCCCTGAGCAGACTTCGGACTACTCAGACCAGGCACCCTAGTCTACCCAACCAGGCCTCTGCCTACCCTGCCTGTCCTCACCTGTGTCCTCTGTAACCTCTGGCTCCTCTTTCACCTGAAGGCTCAGTGGTGGTGATTCCTGCATGGGCCCAAGGGGCGTCTCTGGCCCAGGCTCTGGCGTTTGAGACTCAGTTTGAGGTAGGGGCTGGAAGGTGAAGGGCTCCATCTTCTCTGATAGGACCTCTTGGCCTTGCACCTGGACTGTCACCTAGGGAGGTGCCCCCACCATTAGAGGCCCAAACAGAGAGGGAGCTGGGCACAACCTGGGGTTCACAGGGATCCATCCCACTGCAGGACCTCAGGGGTCTGCCTGGTAAGCAACTGCTGACTTAGGTTTTTTTTTTTGAGACAGAGTCTCACCATGTCACCCTCTGTAGAGTACCATAACGTCACAGCTCACAGCAACTTCAAACTCTTGGGCTTAAGCCAGCGGTTCTCAACCCGTGGGTTGCGACCCCTTTGTAACAATGAAACTACATCACGGCATTAGGAAGGTTGAGAATCACTGGTTTAAGAAATTCTCTTTTGTCAGACTCCCAAGTAGCTGGGACTACAGGTGCCCACCAGAACATCTGGCTATTTTTTTGTTGTAGTTGTCACTGTTGTTTAGCAGGTCTGGGCTGGGTTCAAAGCTGCCAACCCCATTGTATGTGGCTGGCGCCCTAATCACTGAGATACAGAGGCTAAGCCTGCTGACTAGGTTTTCCAAGGTCTTAACACTTCTGGCCCTGAGTAAGGAGCAAAGGGAACACCTGCAGTCTCTCTCCTGCTGCTGACCCCCAGGGTTTCCCATAACCTCCTTGTATCACCTTACCTTGCAGCTCTTGAATTCTGTTGCTCTGTGGCAGGTGTACCATGAGGGAAGATAGGATTTTGACCAAGCATGAGACCCCCACAATGAGGCAGGGCTAGACAATATGCCAGTCCTAACCCCACTACTCATAGCCACTGACTCACCCATTTCCGAGGCCTGCCAAGCTCCTGGCACAGCCTGTCTGCCAGGGCAGCAGCCTCCTTGGGGCTGCCTGGCTGCTGTCTCTGCACACGCGCCTGGATCTCAGGGGGCAATACCCCCAGGAACTGCTCCAGCACCAGGAGCTCCAGCATCTGCTCCTTGGAATGCACTTCTGGCTGAAGCCATCGGCGACATAGCTCTCGGAGCTGGGCCAATGTCTCTTGGGGCCCTACTGCTTCCTCATAGTGAAAGCACCGGAAGCGTAGGCGTGCAGCCTCAGGGCCTGGGTCCCATGGTGTGGCTTCACCTTCCTCCTGAAAGTCCTCCAGCTTCACCATGACAGGGCCCTCATCTTCTGGTGGTACAGTGCCTGGGGAGCCCAGCACAGCAGGTCTCATTGGGAGTACCAGGTCAGGTACTGACCTGAGGCCACAGTCTGCCCCTGAGAAAGGAAGAGGATAAAGCTACTGCAATAAGAGTAGACAGTGACAGTGAATGCTGACTGAGTACCTACTCTATACTATGTTGACCAAATCTCAGACCTACCCCATGTATAAAGCAGACAAGGAAACTGAGGCACCAGGAGGTCATACCCCAGGGACTCATGGGGGTTAGAAGCCTTCATTGAATAACCCATCTTCCTGGCCTCCTCTGTGGCTGGGTTTGTATGAAGTCCACTAGTCCCCTTGCTCCAAACACAGGCTGTTTTGTTCTTTTTCTAAGGCAGAGTCTCATCTGTCATCCTGGCTAGAGTGTGGTGATATCATCATAGCCCACAGCAACCTCAAACTCCAGGCTCAAGGAAGCCTCCTGCCTCAGCCTCCTGAGTAGCTAGTACTACAGGCGCCCGCCATAACGCCCAGCTAATTTTTCTATTTTTTGTAGAGATGAAATCTCACTCTTGCTTAAGTTGGTCTCAAACTCCTGGCCTCAAGTGATCCTCCCACCTCAGCCTCCCAAAGTGCTAGGATTACAAGTATGAACCACTGCAAGCAATTCTCTTGCCTCAGCCTCCCAAGTAGCTGGGACTACAGGAACCCGCCACAACACCCAGCTATTTTTTAGTTGCAGTTGTCATTGTTGTTTAGCTGGCCTGGGCCGGGTTCAAACCTGCCACTCTTGGTGTATGTGTCTGGCGCCGTAACCACTGTGCTACGGGCGCCAAGCCAACACAGGCTTTTTCTTAAGCCCAGAAGATAACTCCTCTCTTTTCTAAACCTTGCCCATCTTCTAAAAGCAACCTCATTGCTGCTCTGCAGTTTTCCCTTTACCAGATAGATGGCATTTCCATCACTTACGTCCTGGGCATCAGCACCACTGCAACCTCCTCATGCTAGCTCTTCCACAATCCACTTGCCCACCCAGTGGCTCACATATGGCTCCTCACTTGGGCCCCATAATCATACTCCTCCCATCCTGGTTCCAGACGGCAGCCTCATTCCACCCACCTGGTCCCCCATCTTAACCTGTGCAAAACCACTTGTTGGTCCACTTCCCAGGCAGTACTTTCTTCCACTCAGTCCCATCCTCTGAGCCCAACTTATCACACCACGCAAAAGCCTAACTCCTCGGCTCTGTGATTTAGGTGGGGCTGGGAAATGACAGGGAACTTCTGACGAGCCTACAAAGCCCACCCCACCTTGCCTCCCGATTGAACAGGAGCCTGCAAGAAAGGCGCGAGTTCCTGCTTCTGCTCCTTTTCTGATCGCTGTGCTTCTGTGAACCTGTTTCCTCATCTCCAAGTGGGGCTGACCTCCCTGCTCACGCTGCTCCTTCTGCAGCTGGGGTTTATGAAGTAATCAGACTTTAGTAAGAGGATGGCGCCGTAGAGTCATTCCCCAGTAGGTAGAACCGATTTCGAAGGCTGCATGAACCCGTGACTCAAACCTCTAATCTTCAAGGTTCCACGTCAACCTGAAACCCTGGGAGAAACTTCGGCCACCGCCAATCCCGGGAGCCCTGCAAAGGTTCCGGAAATACACTTCCCAGAAGTCTAGGCGGCAAGGTCCGTTCTAGGCTTCCCAGGAAGGTCCCAGTGCCACCATGGCAACCGGGGGCGGGGCGCCAAAGTCTGTTGCCGGGGCAACAGTGATTGATGAGCCTCGCGCGACAGGGTAGGGATAGCCTACAGGGATTGCCAGGATTCCTGCCAGGTGCTCCCGGTCTCCGCAGTCGTCACCTCATTCCCGCCCGAGCCTCCCTGGTTGAGAAGAGCACCCCTTCGTCCTCACCTAACGAGCTCAACGGCCTGCTCCGCGCTCTTGAGCATGCGCATTCACAGATTTTTAAATCCTCCCCGGTGGACTACGTCTACTAGATGCTCCGCGTACCAGCTCAAGCACCTCCTTGCCCTTCCCCCACCCCCTACTTTCGTTTTTACCCCACCTCCTCCCGTCCCTTGTGGGTAGTGGTGATCGCAATGATCAGGTCCCACTCCCTGCTGCCTCTTTTCATACTCCCGTCCTCGAACTCAGGCGTCTGGCCCCGGTCGACGTGCGAAAGCTTCTCGAGGGCAATAGAGTGCAGTACTTCCTTGCAGACCGCGCATGCCCCACCTCCGTTTTCCTCAGTTCTCTACGGGCCTTCTCGGGATTAGGAGGGTTATGCACCATTCACGGGCCTCAAGAGAATGCAGTCAGCCTCTTTCCCCACCCCTGCATGGCATCCCGTTACCGAGAAGAGGCCTCCTGCGTTAGATCCCGGACCAAAAAATGGAGCGAGACTAGGCCCAGTGCTTTCTGGGAGATGTAGTCGGTCGGGAACCTCCCTGCGCGCATGCGCAGCGCCATTACGCCGGTGGGCGGTGGGCGGTGGGCGAACATCTTGAAGTCCAGGACCTGGTTGTCGCAGGGCAACCCGAGGACTGGGTGGGCATTCAAAATGCAATGGGTGAGGAGGGAGGAATGAGGGAATGGGTAGGGCGCTGAGGCAGAGAGATGCTCCTCAACTGAGACAGACGCAGAGACAGGAGGGAGACAGGAGGCAGAAGGGAGAGACCGCGAAACAGGAGTGCTGAGTCTCCGCCTGAAGATAGACGCTGAAAGTAAGAGCCGTCAGGTAACAAACAGAGCCACGGGTCCAAGTCAAAGAGAATTTTAAGTCTTATTAAAGAGAGCCTGTAGCTCAAGCAGCTAAGACGCCAGCCACATACACCAGAACTGGCGGGTTTGAATCCAGCCTGGGCCTGCCAAACAACAATGACAACTACAACCAAAAAATAGCCGGGCGTTCTGGCGCGCCTGTAGTCCCAGCTACTTGGGAGGCCGAGGCAAGAGAATCACTTAAGCCCAGGAGCTGGAGGTTGCTGTGAGTTGTGATGCCATGTCACTCAACCCAGGGTGATAGCTTGAGGCTCTGTCTCAAAAAAAAAAACAAACCCAGAATCAGGGCCAGGAAGGCAAGTGTGTCATAACAGAAAATGGCAGAGAGATCAAGAAGGGACGAAGATAAAAGACAAAGAGGGAAGTGAGTGGATCCACAGAGACAAGAAATGCAGATATAGACTGGACGGACAGTGAGGAGTAGAGAGGCAAAACAGGAGAAAAAGGGACAGACATTACAGATACAGTTAGATAGGCTGACAGTTTTCTTTCTTTTTTTTTTCTTAGAGACAGAGTCTCACTTTATTGCTGCCCTTGGTAGAGTGCTGTGGTGTCACAGCTCACAGCAATCTACAACTCCTGTGCTTAGGCGATTCTTGTCTCAGCCTCCTAAGTAGCTGGGACTACAGGCGCCTGCCACAATACCCGGCTTTTTTTCCCTTGTTGTTGTTGCAGTTTGGCAGGGGCCGGGCTTGAACCTGCCACCCTCGGTATATGGGGCCAGCGCCTTACTCACTGAGCCACAGGCGCAGCCCAGGTTGGCAGTTTTCAAAGACTCAGAAAGATGATAACCAGAGAGATGAAGAGTCAGAGCCAGACTTGATAGGAAAAGTTATCCAGAACTTGACAATAAAACTAAAGATGACTGAGAGCCCTGTCTCAATTCCCTAGCATTGCCTATCAGTACCGCTTCATGTCATCTGACTTCCTAAGCGAAGCACTTCTTTTGACTTTACTGTTCAATTAGATGCTACCTGTAAAGGTTGATAGGCTGCAAATGTTTTCTGCCCAGCGTAGCGCCCTGTAGGCCACTAAAGTTTTGTATCCCGCTTTGCGTTATTTCAGTGTTTATTTTTACTATCCTCCTGGAACCACCTATGTCACCTTGCTGATTGCCTCAGTGAGGTAAATAAACCTTTGACACGTGCTCACTGACTGATAGACAGGTATTTTAACTTTTTGGAAAATTATATTTCAGCAGTCTGAAGCAAACCACGTTTCCAGGCTGGGGGACAAACGGGGGTAAAAAAAAA